GCAGACTCCCTGCCGAGCAGGGAGCCCGATGCGGGACTCGATCCCGGGACTCCAGGATCATGACCTGAGCCGAAGGCAGTCGCTCAACCGACTGAGCCACCCAGGCACCCCCTTAGTCCATTTTTTGAGTTGACTTTTGTGTATGGTGTAACATAGCGGTCCAGTCTCATTCTTTTGCGTGTGGCTGTCCAGTTTTCCCAACACTATTTATTGAAGAGACTGTCCGTTCCCCATTGTATAGTCTTGCCTCCTTTGTCATAAATTAATTAACCATATGTGCATGGGTTTATTTCTGGGCTTTCCATTCTGTTCCATTGATCTATGTGTCCGTTTTTATGCCAGTACCACACTGTTTTGATTACTATGGCTCTGAAGTATAGTTTAAAATCAGGGTCCATAATGCCTCCAGTTTTGTCCTTCTTTCTCAGATTGCTTTGGCTATTCAGGGTCTTTTGTGGTGCCATACAAATTTTAAGATGGATTGTCCTATTTCTGTAAAAAATGCCACTAGAATTTTGATAGGGATTATGTTGAATCTATAGATTGCTTTGGGTACAGACCTGACATTTTTCAAAATGCAGTGAAACATAGTTGGGAGTAAATTAAAGTTTCTCCTCAAAGCCAAAGAAGAAAAACTGGAAGAGGAGCAAGCATCTATTTGTGAGCTAAAATTTACACAGAAAGTTGTGTTTCTTTACATGTTGCCCTAATTAGTGTATCATATTTTGTACTTAAATCACAAGTAATTTTCACAGAAAATCAAACAATCCTTAATTATATCTGAAGTCCCCTTTCAAGGTCTTCACCAGCCCTGACCTCCAAAGGGAAGGAACAGGCCACATATGATTTCATTCACAGAACTAAGAAAAGGAGTTAAAAACCAAATGTCCGGGGTGCCTGGCTTGGCTCAGTCAGGAGAGCCGGTGACTCTTGATCTCAGGGCTGTGAGTTAAAACCCCACCCTGAGCATGGAGCCTATTTAAAAAAAAAAAAAAAGGCCAACATTCCAGCAGTATTACTTGCTTACCCAGTGGTTTCTGGAGAGACCGTCTTCAGGCAAGTGCACTGCAGAAAGAAACACAAAAGCTCGGATGTCAATAGGTATTTGTCAAGAAAGTGTTCGGTCAACAGGGGGTGGGCAAGACAACCGTTCCTGGTGGCCTTTTCCTTCTATAACAGACCAGGGTAGGCCTACCTCGGTGGCCCGTGTGAATTTCCGCTGCCTTCCTGCCCCTCCAAACCCACAGTGCAACGCATACACAGGTTGCAAACTCCTCTGTATGTCCAAGTGTCCAGCTTTCTCTCTATTAAGCTCACTGCATCGGTAGCGAGCGGCACTAACTAACATTGTTTTGTAGGCATTCGGGGCTCCTGACCTCAGGGTGCAAATATGCAGGAAGGAGAGGCAAATCAGTGCCTCCAGTCGGTGGTCCTGGCGTTCGGTTTGGAGTGGGACCTTCCCACAGTCCCTGGCTCCCAGGTGACTGCGTTTCTCAGCTTCACACAGCCCCATGGCTCCCTCTCTCATTTATCATTCTTTCACTCCCATGCCAGCTTCTGATGAGAGGCTAGAAAACAGGCCCTGGGGGGGAGCTAATTACTTAAGTGGGGGACAGAGAGGACACACGATGGCTTGGTAACGGTCTCTGAGCATTGTGAGGGTTATTACCACAGGCCGTGGTGACCAGCAGTGTCTCAGGTCGGGTTCCCCGGAAGCAGAGCTCCAGACACAGATTCTTGTGCAAGTGAATTATTGAGGGAGGGCTCTCGGGAGAAAAAGGTAGAGACAGGAGGGAAGCAGTGGAGGGCAGGAGAAGAAGTGAAGCGAAGATGGAGATTTAGCCTCAGCCTGACTTCACCCTGGCTGAAGGGGGTGGGGATTACAGAGTCATTCTTCCCCATACATGACACAGGGGGCCAGGCCTTTATATCCCCCATGTCCGTTAGTCACTGACTGCGGGCCACCCCCACTGGGGGCACGGGGGCACATAAGCCCCAAGTCCTCAGCTCTGGGCAAGGCTGTCCTGCAGGCAGAGACCAGTTCTCAAGAGAACACTGAAATGGCGAGCCCCTCAGCTGGGGATGAGCACCATGGTCAGCGCGGGGAATCTAGCTGGACACCACATCATCCACAAACGACAGCGAGAGAGAAGTAGGATAGACGCCAGGAAAAGCCTCTTGAGGAGGCTGGACGCTCTGGAGCTCCTTGCAGCCACCCGTCACTAGAACCAATGGACAGAGAATGGCCTTCACCCAGCTGGATCTTTCTAGGACTAGACCCAAAAGGGTCTTTCTAGACCCAAAGCAGGATGTTAAGGCAGGTGCCTTCAGGTAAGACATTTTTGTTTTTAATAATTTTTTTTCAAAGATTTTATTCATTCATTCGAGAGAGAGCACGAGCAGGGGGAAGGGGCAGCGGGAGAGGGAGAAGCAGACTCCCGCATTTTATAGATAAGGAGACTGTGGCCAAGAGAGGCTAATTTGCCCAAGTGAACAGTTGGAAGTGGTAGAGGCAGGATTTGAACCCAGGTATCCTGACTCATGAGGGCTACACCACCGCTCTGCTGCCCCTGGTTGTCCCTCTAGCTGGGGTAGACGGGTGCTAGACAGCAGGAGACCAAGCTGGGTGCCATCAGATGAGCATGTTTATAAACCTCAGCATACATCAGAAGCAGCCGTGGTTGATCGCTACACCAGGGTCTACGACCTCATCCCGAATCGGGACCCGGGACTGAGAGACAGGTGACAATCTATACATTTAGCAAGCTCCCCAGGTGTTCTGACGTTGGCAGTCCAGAGGCAACTCTGAAACCTCACAATCATTCAGATGAAAGAGCAGGGCCAGGTTCAAGTCCTAGCTCTTGCACTTTCAACCTGGGTGACCTTGGAAAAGTTAATTAACCTCTCTTAGCCTCAATTTTTCTCAAATCTAAAATAAAAATAATAATAATGTTCCTCTTAAGATGTTGTGAAGTTTAAACTCTGAGCTACTGCACATATAGTGTAATTATATATATATATTTATATCTTACATATACAGCGCATATTAGATTATATATGTTACACAAAGGTCAGGCAGGCCAAACTATTGAGGGTGGTTATCTGTAGGGAGGGAAGTAAGGGGGTGGGGTAAAGCGGGTAGAGAATGGACTTGAAGAGGCTTTCACTTTTTCCTCTATGTATTACATTTTAATTTTTTTTTTTTTTTT